CTTCCCGACACCACTCCAACCACACTCTGGCTCGGGAAAACGCCCACTGCTCGCTCTCTTCGCGTTTTGGGGTGCACCGCCTATGTCCTCCTCAACCCTCAGGCTCGACGGCAGCACGGCGGCAAGCTCGGTCCCAAGACCCAGACATGCATCTACCTCGGACACAACGCCGACTCGCCTGACTACCTCTTCCTCAATCCCTCCACTCAGCAGTTGGTCCGGAGCCGCGACGTTGTCTTTGATGAGACCCGCCCATTCTACTCCACTTCGGGACGGGACCCTCTCCCTGACCCACCCTCCCTCGTGTGGGCAGACTTTGATGCGCCTCCTGACCTCTCGCCTGCTCCGGCCCCTTCACCCCCTACCCCTCCTGCCACCGCACCGTCCCCCTCTGCGGTCTCTGACCCGCTCTCACCGGTGTCTTCGGCAGCTGCTCCTCCATCCCCCTCACTTCCCACTCCGCCGACTGTGCAGCCACCTCCGAGCGCACCTATCACCTACTATCGGCGGTCCCACCCTCCGGCCCCACCTCCTCCCCCGGTTCCCCCCACCACAGAGGAACCCGCTCTCCCACAGTCGCCCGAGCTGATCACGTACCACCGGCGGCCCATTCCCCCGCCCAAGCCTCCTAAGTCAACCCCTCCGACACCGCCTGCCCCACCCTCTTCTCCGGTGGCTCATGGCACTCGTTCGCATGGCGCGGCTCTTCCACTAGCGCTGGTTCTTCGATACACGGCGATCACACCGCCTCCTCCTGCTGGGGGGGATGTGCCCTCTACCCTTCTGGAAGACAGGCATGAGGAGCTGTGTGATCTTCATGCAGTCATTCCTCAGCTCTCGCACATCTTCCCCGACATCACTGACTCACCCTCCCTCAACTTCGCGGAGAACCCGACCATCCCTATCCCTCTCACCGTCCAAGAGGCTCTCTCAGGCCCTCATGCTGCCGAATGGCGTGCTGCCATGGAAGCGGAGATTGCAGCATTCACCCGCAACCACTCCTTCGACGACGAGACTCCACCTCCAGGAGTCAACATCGTCGGGGGCAAGTGGTTGTTCCGTGTAAAACAGCTCCCAGACGAGGCCCAGGTGTTCAAAGCGCGTTACGTAGCCAAGGGCTTCACCCAGCAGCAGTACCGCGACTTCTTCCTAACCTTCTCCCCCACATCCAAACCTCCCACCATTCGTACGCTCATGGATGTCGCAGCTCGAGAAGACTTTGAGATCAAATCCATGGATGCCTCATCCGCCTTCCTACAAGGACGTCTCAAGGAGAGAGTGTTCATGGACAGACCAGAAGGCTTCCTAGGAGAATTCCCTCCCAACACTGTCTGGAAGCCGAATCGCCCCGTCTACGGCCTTAAGCAAGCCCCTCGCGAATGGCACAACAAGGTGAAAGAAGTCCTCCTCTCCCTGGACTTCCACCCTTCAACTGCTGACCCGACTCTCTTCATCCGCCGTCATTCTGAGCCATTCTACATCCTGGTCTACGTGGATGATTTCATCCTCGTTGCCAAGGACTCGGCCCAGATGACCTCTGTCCAGGCAGCCCTGAGCAAGACTCTCCAGATGAAAGACCTCGGTGACCTCAAGCACTACCTGGGGATGGAGATCACTCGTGATCGCCAGGCTCGCACCATTTCACTCTCCCAGGAGTTCTACATCGACAATGTGCTCAAGCGGTTTGAGATGGAGCTGTGCACACCTGTTGCCACCCCGCTGCCGCTGCAACACCTCCTCACTGCTCCAGCTGTACCCACACCAGAGGCCTGCTCTGAGCCATACCCGGAGCTTGTTGGGTCCCTCATGTACGCCATGATGTGCACCCGACCGGACTTGGCCTATCCTGTCAGTGTACTCTCTCGCTACGTGGCCCCTGGACGCTTCACTGATCTTCACTGGAAGGCGGCGAAGCGGGTGCTGCGCTATCTTCAGGGCACCAAGTCTCACGTTCTCACACTCGGTGGGCTCTCCCCTCCTCGCCTGGAAGGTTACACCGACTCCTCCTGGGCTGATGACCAGACCGACCGACGCTCCTCTCAGGGGTACTGCTTAACCCTTGGGAGCGGAATTGTCAGTTGGCGCTCCACCAGGTCGTCTGCAGTCTCCCTCTCCTCCTGTGAGGCAGAGCTCTACGCAGGCACCATGGCTGCTCAGGAGGCCCGTTGGCTCACCTTCCTACTCCAGGAGCTTGGTTTCCCACAGTCCGCCCCCACCCTCTGGTGTGACAACCAGAGTACCATCCACATCTCTCAAGACCCTGTGTATCACACCCGCACCAAGCATATTGAACTTCGGCACTTCTTCATCCGTGACCTTGTCCAACAGGAGCAGCTGAAAGTGGAATACGTTGCATCTGACTGCAACCTGGCTGATCTGTTCACCAAGCCCCTTGGGAAAGTTCCCCACCACCGTCTCCTAGGCGCCATGGGGCTCTGTGCACCACCCTCTCTACCATGAGTTCGATTGACGCCTATGGGGGGGTGTTAGTGTTAGCCTTCAATCTCACACTTTGTACTTTGTATTTTCTATATCATAGAGTAGTGTAGTTTGCACATTGTGTTTGGTTGGGTGTACACCTACATCCCAACCAAACCCAAATGTAATCTCCAAGCAATCTCCAACCCACCAATTGGAGATTGCCTTGGGATTACCCCTAATCCCTAGGATTGCCCCCGATTCCCTTCCCCATCCATTCCCTCCCCTTCTTGGATGTATTTAAAGAGCTTCAAGCTCATTACTAATGCATCGCTTCTAAGCCTAAGTTCTAAGAGAGGCGTGTGTGTGACGTCCTGGCGCCACCCACGGTGCAGTGCATTAGAACCATCCCTTCACACGAACGAACGTATCACTGTTTGCAAACTAGCTCCAGGCAGCAGGATCCCGCTGTGGAGTGACTTGACTCGTAGCTGTCGACATTGGATCATCGGACCAAAAACGCAACAACTACTCGACTACAACACGTGTTTGCATGTGCACCGTTCGGGTGGTGGGAGAGTGCGGGGGTACAGGAAGGTGAGTGCAGTGAGGCGACTGAAGGTTGAGGGAAGCCGTCCCGCAATGCTGATGCCTGATAAATCACTGGGGTAGGGAGGAATCAGCATGCATGCACAACCACACAGGGACAGAAGCTCACAAAGTTGAACATGCATCAGTGCGTAAACAATTGCAGGCACACAAACACATGTGTGTGACACAATCTTCCTTTCTTTTCTTTCTAGCGGGGAGGGGGTGTTAGGGTGAACCTAGGAAAAATTGAGCAATTTCCGTTCTCATGGCACAAGAGAGGGCAGTGGGAGAAGCAAAGGTGGGCATGAAGGCGAGAGCAGTCCAGTTCATTACGTCCGTCCCCACGTGCACTCGCGATCTTCTCCTCACATCCGCATTGCCAAACCCCCCTCCCCAACTCCGTCATTCTCCCCTCCCCTCCCCTCCGCGCACCCAGCCAGCAACCCTGCTGAGCCTCACCCCCACCAATCCAGGGTGAGGGCTTGAAAGCACTCTCACAGGTGCTGGAGAGCGGTGGCATTGCCGATGGACGCAGGGATTTCCCCTTCAAATCCAGTGAAGCGCAGGTCTCTGCCATGGTCCGTGGTGGGCGAGAGGGGTGGTGGGTGGGGTAGGTAGAGGCTGCATGTGAGATAGTGCGGGTGAGAGCATGGCGGAGGAGGGGTGGACCGTGAAACCCGGAGGGATGAATGCGGACAACAGAGGCTGAAGGCGAAGGAGGTACGGCCCTGTATGATTTAGACCAAATGTGAGTTGAGACAAACAGCGAGTTCAGTGGATGAATGAGGGCAGAAAGGGTGACGACGATGCAGGCAGGAGAGGTGAAGCGTACACGTATTGCAGGCGGGGGAAGTGGCCGAGCATTTCCAGGTTGCCGGATAATCCCCACCACCGGAAGTCCCTGCAGAGGAGGCGTGGGCGATGGGAGGGCGGTCGGGCAGCAGGCAGCGAGGAGAAGAGCTGATGACCTGCGTGTGCCAGGGATGCGCTGCAAGCAGAGGGCATGCCGGCTTTGCGATGAACATGCTCATGGTGTGTGTTTGTGGGCGCGCGCGCGTGCGTACATGCGTGCGTGCGTGCGTGAGTGAGTTTGTGTGTGTGTGTGCATGCGCGCGCGCGCGTGTGTGTGTGACTGCGTGTATGCGCACGTGTGAATGTGTATGTGAGTGAGTGTGGTATGGCGTGAGCTAACATGACATTTGGATGGTGATATCTGCATGAAACTATGCCATATGGGGCGAGGGAGGCAGGGTGAGGAGGATGTAAGCAAGCACACACGCAGCATGGTCAACAGGGGGGTAGGGGGGGACAAGCATGGAGGCGGTTGCCGGAACAGCACAGCCCCGACTTCGATCACATCATCGGCCTTTAGGACTCATGATGGCACGGTGTGGAGTGACTGACAGGGTGTGCAGTGACTGACAGGGTGTGCAGTGACTGACAGGGTGTGGAGGGCGGTGAAGGCTGTGATGTCCGACGGCAATGTCCCAAATGCGAACGGTACATCTGGATCCCCGCCGATCCTGCATGGCATGGCATGGCATGGCATGGCATGGCAGCAGCAGGTGGAGGGGATTTCTGTTGCACGGAGACTTGGAACGGATAGAGCTGCATGCACGCGTGCACTCTGCCTGAGGTTGCTTGCAAGGTTTCACGCTCATGTGGACACATCACAAACAAGTGCACACACACACATGGGACCTCCCGGGTTTGCACCACTCCGGGGCCTCACCCAATATATCCACACCTATATATTCACCACCTCTTGCCCTAACATCCCATCACACCTTTATCTTCCATATCCCGCATCTTCCGACCCACCTTCATCCCCACCCACATTGCTCTTGCACACTGCAAGGAAGAAACGAGCATCACAACCCGATCCCTTCATCCCCACCACTCCCTCCCGCCCTTCCCCATGCGCCGGGGAGCACAACATCATCCCAGGGCGGGCAGGCAGGGCTCACAAGTCAGTGACCATGCCGTGCGCGTCACACGTCACGCTGAGGTCGATGTTGCTGTTCCACGCGTCGCACCACCACGCCTTGCCGGACGGGCCGTTCCCCTCCGCCCACTCCCACGCCTGCCACTCCCGCTCCAGCGCCAGCAGCGCTTGCACTGCCAGGCCCGGAGGGGTGCGGGGAAGGCACGGGGGCAACGAAGGAGGAGACAAGTGGGGAGGGGAGGTGAGTCTGGGAGGCGGCAGCAACAGCAGCACCGCGTGGGACGCTCATGCATTGGGCAACTGAGCCGTGCGACTGGGGCTGCGTGACATTGCATCCCCTTGTTTCGCTGGAATGGAATCACTTCACTCCACAAACAGACGTGGCTCTTAGTTGAGGGTACGCAGGAGCTTAAGCAGGGAACGGCACACGCCGAAAGCGCCGTGCTGGACAGCTGCTACCCATGTATCCCCGCAGCTGGTCGCACGTGGTGAGCTGGCAAGGGCTAATGAGTCGTCCTCACACTGCGAGGCTTAGGCGACAGTTTCGGCCCTCCAACTGCCTGCTGGAATCTGACACGCGCTGTGCCCATAGAGATGGCTCCTAAGACGCCTCGAAAGGCCCGTAGCTCAACAATAGTACGTCACGTATTAGACGGTCTGGCACTATCAGAGTCGGAGTGCCGTGAGGGTAGCTGTCTGTCGCTGAGTCGGACTCACACTGTGAGGGCGCGAGCTTGACGCGCTCCGCCTGGTCTCGTTCTGTCGATGCGGCTTCTAGTTGGCGACGCGCGGCGGACGGACGACGGCCCGCCGCGACGAGCGCCGCCGGCGGCGGCGAAGCTCGCGACGGGCCGCGGCGCGATGGGCCGTTGGTTGCGAGAATGCTGCTAGTGCGGCCGCCTCGCAGAATGGTGGTGGTGGTAGGGGCAGTGACAGTGGTACCACTGGCTGTGAAGGGAGAGAGAAGCACGAGGAGCAGGAGCATGATGCAGCGCATATAGCGGTGTGCGTGGCGAGGGGCCATCGTAAGTGGCGAGTTTCGCGACATGATCAATGCTGGAGTGCGAAAGCCGAGAGGAAGGATTTTGCAGTGCGAAAGTTGCTCGTTGGTCGCGGATCTCGCGAGTCGCGACTGGGAAGGATGGGAGAAAGGAGAAGTAACGAGGAGAGGGAATTTTTGTGTGACCTACAACTGCTACTGACTAGTTGTTGGGTTGGGTCTTCGGGTTTTCGTTGGTATGCAATTAGTCAAAAGGTTCATTTGGTTCTAAAAAGCGGTCTGAAGCGGTTAAAACGAAGGCCGTCCCGAAACGTGGCTAACCGTTTTGAACCGCGTCAAACTAACTATGAGCAAGTATGACCCGCCGCACCCGGACAGGGAAGGTGGGGGGGAGGGGGCTGCGCAGAGCGGGGATGCTTATCGGGGCTGTTCCCCAGAATTTCTGTTCAGGTGCACCAACAAGCTGACGCCCACCTAAACAGATATGGCGGAAGCTGTTGACTTGGATGACCTACCACCACCCGAAAGGAAAAGATCAATAAACCCAAACATTAGGGCGACGTTAGGTTATACTTTCTCATGGGTTTACAGTTCTTGTATCGTGGTCCAGGACGTATTCTTGACGTTTACCGCTCTGCACCGTGTTGAAACAAAGTTAACCGCAGTGGGCGTACAAATAGCTGTACAACCTGACGTCGCCCTTAGAATTCAGCCATTTTGAAGGGAAAACCCAAAAATCGATTCTACAATTCGCTTTTTGCTTCGATAGTACAATCTTCGCTTGCTCGCTCGATTGCACCCGTAACATTGAGAGATATCGAGTCCGTCAGCTCAAACAAGCCAAACCAATACGACCAAACAAAACCTTCAGGAGAGGGATTTGACAAGCACAGCCAAGCAGCGTGAGGCTTGTCACACTGAAGCGAATGCTTCTGCTCGTTTCTTGGTTCAGCTAGCTCTCGGTCCTACCTTGCTCCAAGCTTCTTGGTTCTACGTTCTTGCTCCTAGCTTCTGGTTCTATTAGATTCTTAACCACGTGTTAATCGCAATCCGAGTTTCTAACTTCCTTCATGGCGCGAAACTCTACGCTCGTCCCTCACAAGGCGTACTGTGTGCGCCGCGTGCTGGTCGTCATCCTTCTCGCTTCCGCCGCTAGCGCCTTCCGTGCCGCCCCGAACGACGGTCGTCCGCGCGTAGTAGCTGCGCCGCAGCGCCAGGTGGCTGCGTCCGTAACGCCGAGTCAGGCGCGCATCAAGCTCCAACCCTCGCAACGTGAGAATGTCTTGGTTGTTTTACCATAGCACGGTCGACTCGGCAACGGGGCATATTGAGTGAATCCCCCCAGACGCCGTCCAGTTCATTTCACTGGAAACTAATAGCCACTAGAAAGTCACTTTCAGTGGTGTTAGTGGCTGTGGGGATACGTGGGAGTCGCCTGGGTTACGCACACCAGGGTAACCCACAAATCACGTGGGTGTAGAGGTTTTCAAGCCCAATGTCTGGGATGTGTTTTCTCACGCTGTGATGAAAACGTAGGTGAAGCACTTGTGTAGAGTTTATGCCCACAGCGAAGAGTCTTGGCATTCTTGGCGAAGAATGACCCGAGATCGTGTTACGCCGGTAAGAAGCAGGATGCTGCGCAAAAGTTGAACATGCACTTATTTCAACACCTTTGTTGACAGCGACACATCCCCCTCACACAAACAACCATTTCCACATATTTCAAAACAAACTGGAATGTGCGCAGCGCACTGAACCCAGCTATTCTCCTGTACCGACTGCAGCACGCCATCCCTCTGATCACGGGCCGTGCTCCGCCATGCGTCTTGCCACAAATGCCACTTAATCTTTCTCGGAAAACAGGCACATAGAGATGGATTGCCAGGAGACCACTTCTAGTCGCCCAACAGTGTTGGTCGGTTGGCGAGCCATTGTCATCCCGTTCGTCTTGCCGTTCCGCCCCCCAACAACCTCCCTCCACCTGCCCCCAGTACAAGCGCTGCTGGCCCTGAATAGCGAATGGGGTGTGTGGCCCCAGTACAACTCGACTGATGTATTCTGTGATGAATGGGAGGACAACTCGTTCAGTCATTTGGAATGTAACACACGCGGCATGGTCACCGCCCTGTGAGCTCCTCCATGTGTGCTCTGGGATGAGTACGAGACACGAGGCAGGCAGGAAGGAGGAAGTGAGGATGGGGAGTGAGGGGAATGGAAGGGCAGTGCACGGGGTAAGGAACGTCTGTTTGGCATGATGGATGATGGATGAAAGCAGCCCTGCAAAGGCGGAGTGGCTGTGTTGTGGGACCGATCAGGAAAGATAGTAGAGCGAACTTGCCTGTTTTCACATGACCATGCACGCCGTTGCATGGTGTGCAGAGCAGGCATTGCTGAACTTGCTGCTGCAACGCCACCATTTCCCTTGCATCCGAGTGAACAGCCACCTACTTGTCAATATTTTGATGCAGGTTCGTGATGCCGGACGATCGCTTTGTACCATATGGAGTCGTTCCTTCAGCCATCACAGCCCTCACAGCGCTTCAAAAACTGTCAGTGCTACAGTTCACTTGTGAGGAAATGGCCGCAGGGGTACTTGAAGGGCCACCAGATTGAGTGCTTGGGATTGCACTGAACCACCACTAAATAACGTTTGCTGTCGATATTTTTTTCCTTTGCAAAGCTTGGAGGTTATTTGTTTATTTCGTAACTTGTTGTTCCACAAGCTGCTTAATACCCAATCTGATGTCTGTACACCTTGCACGATTTCTGAGCTCACTTATCTTGTCGTTCGCCTCTCTCAAAGCCACCCTTCCCACTTGCATGGCTCTTGGCAGGGGATTGCCTTGGTGCGCCTTCACTGGAAGCCTGGAATTCCTTGGCAAGTTGCCTCACTTGGAAATTATGTACGCACCTTTGTTCTGCTCTACCCTTGTGCCGTACTCACCTCTCTTGCTCTTTCCTCTCTCTTGACCTGCCCTTCCGGCCCCCTCTATGCCTTTCTCTAACTCATTCGGTCCCCACCGTGTTTACTCTCTCTCTCATGCAAAGTCGGCCTGCCTGCCTCACCCGCGTGTCAATGCCATGACAGGGATCTGCACGCCACCGGATTAAGTGGATCGATCCCTGAATCCATCGGCAATGCCATGAATCTGCAGCACCTGTAAGAGGTGGTTCTATTGTCAAGAATTCCCCCTTGCTGCCTCAGCTTGACTTATTTTCACATCGTCTTGCTCGCGAGGGCAGCTCAGATCACAACGATGCCTGTAACTTGTTTGTCTGTGTGTGTGTGTGTGTGTGTGTGTGTGTGTGTGTGTTTTTTTTTTTTTTTTCTTTTCTTTTCTTTTCTTTCAGAATGAGCAGCCGCTCGAAGCAACTCACCTCTTCGGTTTCAGTTTCGAAATGTTGGAGACTCAGCCTCATCTGTTTGTGAACCCCTTGTCATCTCCATCCCATGCCAGTGAACTGTCGGACATTGCTGATCTCACTGGAAGTCTCCCATCCACCATCAGTCGCCTCACTGCACTCACCTACCTGTACCTCCTATCTTCTCTTTCCTGAACCTCCTCCCCCTCTTTGCACCGCCCTGCTGCCACGTGCATCACTTGCATCCCGGGTTGACACCTTGCACATTGCTCGCTCCACATCCCAACCGCTGCTCCTCTTTCTTCCTGTTTGCATCCATCAGTTGCGTGCATGTGTTTTCCCTTCCTGGCTTCCTTTCCCACCCTCTGCACTGCCTCCCCATGCAGGTCCATTGGAAGGTCTCAGTTCAATGACTACCCTAGCTATACCGTTGTCTATGCTTATACTGTTACCAAGAAGCCACCAGAGTAAGACTGATGGGGTCTAGATTTCTGCTGCTGCATGCTATGCTATGGTGCATGGTGCATGCTATTGTACATGCCATGGTGCATGCTATTGTACATGCCATGGTGCATGCTATTGTACATGCCATGGTGCATGCTATTGTGGCATGCCATGGTGCATGCTATTGTACATGCCATGGTGCATGCTATGTACATGCCATGGTGCATGCTATGTACATGCCATGGTGCATGCTATGTACATGCCATGGTGCATGCTATGTACATGCCATGGTGCATGCTATGTACATGCCATGGTGCATGCTATGTACATGCCATGGTGCATGCTATGTACATGCCATGGTGCATGCTATGTACATGCCATGGTGCATGCTATGTACATGCCATGGTGCATGCTATGTACATGCCATGGTGCATGCTATGTACATGCCATGGTGCATGCTATGTACATGCCATGGTGCATGCTATGTACATGCCATGGTGCATGCTATGTACATGCCATGGTGCATGCTATGTACATGCCATGGTGCATGCTATGTACATGCCATGGTGCATGCTATGTACATGCCATGGTGCATGCTATGTACATGCCATGGTGCATGCTATGTACATGCCATGGTGCATGCTATGTACATGCCATGGTGCATGCTATGTACATGCCATGGTGCATGCTATGTACATGCCATGGTGCATGCTATGTACATGCCATGGTGCATGCTATTGTACATGCCATGGTGCATGCTATGTACATGCCATGGTGCATGCTATGTACATGCCATGGTGCATGCTATGTACATGCCATGGTGCATGCTATGTACATGCCATGGTGCATGCTATGTACATGCCATGGTGCATGCTATGTACATGCCATGGTGCATGCTATGTACATGCCATGGTGCATGCTATGTACATGCCATGGTGCATGCTATGTACATGCCATGGTGCATGCTATGTACATGCCATGGTGCATGCTATGTACATGCCATGGTGCATGCTATGTACATGCCATGGTGCATGCTATGTACATGCCATGGTGCATGCTATGTACATGCCATGGTGCATGCTATGTACATGCCATGGTGCATGCTATGTACATGCCATGGTGCATGCTATGTACATGCCATGGTGCATGCTATGTACATGCCATGGTGCATGCTATGTACATGCCATGGTGCATGCTATGTACATGCCATGGTGCATGCTATGTACATGCCATGGTGCATGCTATGTGCATGCCATGGTGCATGCTATTGTGGCATGCCATGGTGCATGCTATGTGCATGCCATGGTGCATGCTATGTGCATGCCATGGTGCATGCTATGTGCATGCCATGGTGCATGCTATGTACATGCCATGGTGCATGCTATGTACATGCCATGGTGCATGCTATGTACATGCCATGGTGCATGCTATGTACATGCCATGGTGCATGCTATGTACATGCCATGGTGCATGCTATGTACATGCCATGGTGCATGCTATGTACATGCCATGGTGCATGCTATGTACATGCCATGGTGCATGCTATGTACATGCCATGGTGCATGCTATGTACATGCCATGGTGCATGCTATGTACATGCCATGGTGCATGCTATGTACATGCCATGGTGCATGCTATGTACATGCCATGGTGCATGCTATGTACATGCCATGGTGCATGCTATGTACATGCCATGGTGCATGCTATGTACATGCCATGGTGCATGCTATGTACATGCCATGGTGCATGCTATGTACATGCCATGGTGCATGCTATGTACATGCCATGGTGCATGCTATTGTACATGCCATGGTGCATGCTATGTACATGCCATGGTGCATGCTATGTACATGCCATGGTGCATGCTATGTACATGCCATGGTGCATGCTATGTACATGCCATGGTGCATGCTATGTACATGCCATGGTGCATGCTATGTACATGCCATGGTGCATGCTATGTACATGCCATGGTGCATGCTATGTACATGCCATGGTGCATGCTATGTACATGCCATGGTGCATGCTATGTACATGCCATGGTGCATGCTATGTACATGCCATGGTGCATGCTATGTACATGCCATGGTGCATGCTATGTACATGCCATGGTGCATGCTATGTACATGCCATGGTGCATGCTATGTACATGCCATGGTGCATGCTATGTACATGCCATGGTGCATGCTATGTACATGCCATGGTGCATGCTATGTACATGCCATGGTGCATGCTATGTACATGCCATGGTGCATGCTATGTACATGCCATGGTGCATGCTATGTGCATGCCATGGTGCATGCTATTGTGGCATGCCATGGTGCATGCTATGTGCATGCCATGGTGCATGCTATGTGCATGCCATGGTGCATGCTATGTGCATGCCATGGTGCATGCTATGTGCATGCCATGGTGCATGCTATGTGCATGCCATGGTGCATGCTATGTGCATGCCATGGTGCATGCTATGTACATGCCATGGTGCATGCTATGTACATGCCATGGTGCATGCTATGTACATGCCATGGTGCATGCTATGTACATGCCATGGTGCATGCTATGTACATGCCATGGTGCATGCTATGTACATGCCATGGTGCATGCTATGTACATGCCATGGTGCATGCTATGTACATGCCATGGTGCATGCTATGTACATGCCATGGTGCATGCTATGTACATGCCATGGTGCATGCTATGTACATGCCATGGTGCATGCTATGTACATGCCATGGTGCATGCTATGTACATGCCATGGTGCATGCTATGTGCATGCCATGGTGCATGCTATGTGCATGCCATGGTGCATGCTATGTGCATGCCATGGTGCATGCTATGTGCATGCCATGGTGCATGCTATGTACATGCCATGGTGCATGCTATGTACATGCCATGGTGCATGCTATGTACATGCCATGGTGCATGCTATGTACATGCCATGGTGCATGCTATGTACATGCCATGGTGCATGCTATGTACATGCCATGGTGCATGCTATGTACATGCCATGGTGCATGCTATGTACATGCCATGGTGCATGCTATGTACATGCCATGGTGCATGCTATGTACATGCCATGGTGCATGCTATGTACATGCCATGGTGCATGCTATGTACATGCCATGGTGCATGCTATGTACATGCCATGGTGCATGCTATGTACATGCCATGGTGCATGCTATGTACATGCCATGGTGCATGCTATGTACATGCCATGGTGCATGCTATGTACATGCCATGGTGCATGCTATGTACATGCCATGGTGCATGCTATGTACATGCCATGGTGCATGCTATGTACATGCCATGGTGCATGCTATGTACATGCCATGGTGCATGCTATGTACATGCCATGGTGCATGCTATGTACATGCCATGGTGCATGCTATGTACATGCCATGGTGCATGCTATGTACATGCCATGGTGCATGCTATGTACATGCCATGGTGCATGCTATGTACATGCCATGGTGCATGCTATGTACATGCCATGGTGCATGCTATGTACATGCCATGGTGCATGCTATGTACATGCCATGGTGCATGCTATGTACATGCCATGGTGCATGCTATGTACATGCCATGGTGCATGCTATGTACATGCCATGGTGCATGCTATGTACATGCCATGGTGCATGCTATGTGCATGCCATGGTGCATGCTATGTACATGCCATGGTGCATGCTATGTACATGCCATGGTGCATGCTATGTACATGCCATGGTGCATGCTATGTACATGCCATGGTGCATGCTATGTACATGCCATGGTGCATGCTATGTACATGCCATGGTGCATGCTATGTACATGCCATGGTGCATGCTATGTACATGCCATGGTGCATGCTATGTACATGCCATGGTGCATGCTATGTACATGCCATGGTGCATGCTATGTACATGCCATGGTGCATGCTATGTACATGCCATGGTGCATGCTATGTACATGCCATGGTGCATGCTATGTACATGCCATGGTGCATGCTATGTACATGCCATGGTGCATGCTATGTACATGCCATGGTGCATGCTATGTACATGCCATGGTGCATGCTATGTACATGCCATGGTGCATGCTATGTACATGCCATGGTGCATGCTATGTACATGCCATGGTGCATGCTATGTACATGCCATGGTGCATGCTATGTACATGCCATGGTGCATGCTATGTACATGCCATGGTGCATGCTATGTACATGCCATGGTGCATGCTATGTACATGCCATGGTGCATGCTATGTACATGCCATGGTGCATGCTATGTACATGCCATGGTGCATGCTATGTACATGCCATGGTGCATGCTATGTACATGCCATGGTGCATGCTATGTACATGCCATGGTGCATGCTATGTACATGCCATGGTGCATGCTATGTACATGCCATGGTGCATGCTATGTACATGCCATGGTGCATGCTATGTACATGCCATGGTGCATGCTATGTACATGCCATGGTGCATGCTATGTACATGCCATGGTGCATGCTATGTACATGCCATGGTGCATGCTATGTACATGCCATGGTGCATGCTATGTACATGCCATGGTGCATGCTATGTACATGCCATGGTGCATGCTATGTACATGCCATGGTGCATGCTATGTACATGCCATGGTGCATGCTATGTACATGCCATGGTGCATGCTATGTACATGCCATGGTGCATGCTATGTACATGCCATGGTGCATGCTATGTACATGCCATGGTGCATGCTATGTACATGCCATGGTGCATGCTATGTACATGCCATGGTGCATGCTATGTACATGCCATGGTGCATGCTATGTACATGCCATGGTGCATGCTATGTACATGCCATGGTGCATGCTATGTACATGCCATGGTGCATGCTATGTACATGCCATGGTGCATGCTATGTACATGCCATGGTGCATGCTATGTACATGCCATGGTGCATGCTATGTACATGCCATGGTGCATGCTATGTACATGCCATGGTGCATGCTATGTACATGCCATGGTGCATGCTATGTACATGCCATGGTGCATGCTATG